TTTCAGTAAGGATGGGTCTTTAACATCTACACGTAGCAAGAGGATGATGGTCTCTGTAGGCGAATTATGAAAACAGGATGCAGCAAAGGTGAGATGTGGAGCCAGATTTCCAGAAGTCGCAACAATTAATTTGTCTTAAACATTAGTGAGTGAAATAAATGCCTAACAGTGTTAGCAATGTGACAGAATTCTCACAATGCTAAAATTGTGTTTTAAGAGCTAAGATAGCAGGACCAGCAGTTAGCGTAATGGCTGTGTCGCTGGACTCCCACGTAATCGACCGCGGTTCACGTCCCTGACCCGGTGGCTTAAAACTCACGCCAGGCGCGTGTGCGTGCGTGCCCAAAATCCCGAGAGAAGAATGGAGGAGAAGGGATTGCGGCGTGACCATCCCCCCTGGGGGGTGATTTCTCGCTTTCTGTCTCTATGTCTCTCTCTGTCTGTCTGGCGAGTGCACGCGCCCTAAAGCAAAAAATGTCTCAAAAAAAAAAAAAAAGAGCTAAGATAGCCAAAGAAAACAGGAAGCTTCCAAAACTTCCACTAACAGAAAAACAGTTTATTTTAATGGATGTCAAAGTAACATAAACCAACAATCTTAGGTATAAGTTAATGTTCTGATTTAGTCTCGGTGCAAAACACAGCCATATACAAAGAATCCTAGCTATTACATGTGACTTGGACAGTTGTAAAAATATCTGTAATATCTGTCCATTTGATATATTCTCGGCCAAAGTGGTGGAGAAAACACATCACTTTTAGGCATAAACTGGGAATCAGCAGTGAAATTCAAATCCACGAGATGGAAGTGTAGCAAGAGGTATCAGATTGCCAGGGAGAAACGTGTTTCAAGAAACTAAGTATAAATAGCATGTTTTCTCCATCTTGCTTGGTGAAAGGCTTGGAGTTTTATGTTTAGAGGAGTCAGTTCAAAGAATATTGTTACTGGTCGTATTTACTTTTTGAAGAGGTAAGGATGCCAAAAAGGGAGTTCAGGATTTTTGATACCTGCTTGTTTTTAAATTGGAAGGGTGGTCATGGAGATGCTATTGCTAAATGTTTGTTTTACAAACTTTTTAATAAGTCATGAATTTAAGTGAAACAGTCAAGGAGAAAAGATTAAGGATGCTGGATATTGTGATTAAGATTATTTCTAAAATATAAAAGAATATGGAAAGTATCCTTCAAAAATTAAATATGTGCAGTCACAGTAATTTGCAGTTATGTGTCCTTTCCAGTTCCCTCCCCAAACCAGGGGTTTCTTTTCCCCCAAGATTTTTGCCATAGGGCTCATGTGCTTGTCAGAGAAAAGAGAAAAGGAAAGTAAGAAATCACCCCCCCTCCCCCCAAGAAGCAATGGCCACAAAGCAATCCCTTTTCCATTCTCCTCTCAGAGAAGCTACCAGTTCTGGGACTTGAACTAGGGCGTTGACCATGTGGGACCCATTGCCTTAACTACTATGCCTCCTGCTTGCCCAGGAGCTTCTTTACTGTCCTGTTCAAAGTCCTATGTCTGAGTAACTTTCTGGTATTTACATAGGTTACTCTGCCAAGGGGTGTCACTTACGAATGCTGTGTCCCTAGGGCCAGCAAGCCCTGCTGCTGGGAACCCTGGCCTGAAGAATGTCAGCACGCCCTTGGAGCTGGTTCTCAGCGTTTGGCAGTCCACCTCCAAACCATTCCCTCCGGCTTTGTACTGAGCCAGTGGGAGGATGGCGCGGCCCCGGTCCCCAGTAGAGAGGAGGAGATACTCAGAACAAAAGGATGATGTCGGTGTCCTAGTTAGTACCCTTCTGTAAGAAGGGAGAGACGTCCTCTTTCCGATTATTTTCTTTTTAAACCTTTCTAAAGAAAATTGAGATGTGTGCTAAGATTCTCCCCTCTTCTGGCATCTTACCTCCTTTTTATGGTGATGACTTCAGAATGTAACAGTTGGAAGAGATACAGAATTCAAGATAAAAGATAGGAGTGAAAGAATAAGTTTGAGATTCGTGCAAATGAATCTCTGAAATGATGTTTCTGTATAATAAGGCAGATGGAATGGGAGTCAGACAAAGTATGAGTAAAGAGGGCAGGGGCGGAATGTTCCAGGGCCCTCGGTTGTCTCCATTTCTTTCCAGCTACTTTTGTTCTTAGGACTGGGTTTGTAATCAGGATGCAAATTCACATAAGTCTAAATTATAACTTACCATGTTTTTCTAATTTTCCTTTTGTTTTGTTTTGTTTTCTGTGTGTGTGTGGTTTTTTGCGGGGGAGAGGTTTTTGCTATAGGGCATGTGCAAGAAACCACACCACAATTCGTTCTCCTCTCTTCTCCTCTCGGGATCTTGGGCATGCACGCCCATGCACCTGACATGAGTTTAAGCCACTGGGTCCAAGACTCGAACCACTGTCGACTACTTGGGAGTCCAGCGACGTAGCCATTATGCCAACTGCTGGCCCCACCATGTTTTTCTAATTTTTCTAGAACTACACTTTAAGCTTCACATAATGATGAAAAACAAAAGCTACAGATTTTTTGGTGTGTATTTCAGATATGAAAAATAAAAGATAGTACTTTTGTCCACTTAGAAGGTGCTCTAAAGAGACTTCATTTAATGGAGATTGACGTAGTAGGGTAAACCCTAAGACATCGAAAATATTTGGACTAATTCTGGATAAGCAGCATTCGATAAAGTTACATTGGAATGTGGGTAGGCAAGTAAACATGCATTAAAAATAAGGTTGTACGTGTATGTTTTTTTATTTTTTTACAGTCCTATTTTGTGACGGATTATGATCCAACCATTGAAGATTCCTACACGAAGCAGTGTGTTATAGATGACAGAGCAGCCCGGCTAGATAGTAAGTAATCTTCCTTTATTTGATAGTTTGTATACTGTATTGTTTAAAAGTAAGGTCGGCTGTTTTTGCAGTTAGGTGGTATAATTAGTTTTGACTGATGAATCCTCGTCTTCAGAAATCTAAATATTCTTCAGTATAAAAAAATGAAACAGCAATTGAATTGATCTTGTTTTAGTGAAACTAGTCTTGTCATTGTAGCGTGTTGAAGTTGTATGTATTGGGACAGTTGGAAAAAATATGTCAGGTCTCAGATGGGGACATGAGAGGGTCTTCAGAAAGTTTGTGGAAAAAAATGTGTAATACAAACAAACCATGAGTGAATTTCAACATTTTGGGTACCAAAATAAACTTGTACTTTAATTCCATTTTTCACAAACTTTTTGAAGTCCTTTTGTTTAGAAAAGGTTCAATATTTGTTGACTTACTTAGAACTTAGAGTACAGAGGCTTTAACAGATAGTGGTTTCTACCTTGTTAAATATCCCCCTTGTTCACAAAAGAAAGCTCTGTTCTTTTAACTTATGTGATTTTTTAAAAAATTTTATTTGTTGACGTTTTTGCTATAAGAGCACATGTGCTTGCTGAAGAGGCAGAGAGAGACAGAAAGTGAGAAAACACCCCCCAGGGGATGGCCACACCGCAATCCCTTCTCCATTCTCCTTGCCGGGGCCTCGGGCGTACACAGGCACAGCAACCGGCATGAGCTTCAAGCCTCTGGGTCTGAGACTCGAACTGTGGTCGGCCACGTGGGAGTCCAGCAATGTTACCGTTATGCCATCTCCTGGACCCTTGATTGATTTTCTTTACATAGACATCACAGAGGTCAAAGTGTGTTTGCACCTGCACTACGAATGGTGTGTGTGTGTGTGTGTGTGTGTGTGTGTAGGGGAGAGAGGTATAACCACAATTTCTTGAATTTATAGGTAATTTTTTCCAGTGTTTTCCTGGAGGGGGTAAAATACCCAAGTGATTTCAGAGGTTATCTGACTCTATCTGCCTAGATTTGTTTGCTAATTTTAACCTTGTAATTGGTATGCTAATATATTCTAGCCACAAAATCAACCTGTACTGATGAAGATAAACTCTGAAACTGTCTGTCATTAACACGCATTTGTCTTCAGCGCCGCCGAGATAAATACTAAGAGAGGAAGCCATTTTCTTACACCAAGTGTGAGGCTCTCATGGGCACCCGCCCGTGTGGGGAAGCAGTTTATAAAAAGAAAACAGAAATGCAGTTACATGTGTTGTTTCTTTCTTTAGTTTTGGATACAGCAGGACAAGAAGAGTTTGGAGCCATGAGAGAGCAGTATATGAGGACTGGCGAGGGTTTCCTGTTGGTCTTCTCAGTCACAGATAGAGGCAGGGTCGTACCAGCACTGAAGAGCAGACCCTTGGTTCCTGTTTAGGTCACCGTTTCATTAAATTGGGATTTCCTCGTTTTCATAGAAAAAGGGAAAGTAATGTAGTACTGGGGGGGGGCGTGGGGCTGCTGCATTCTGGTACTTAACCAAAATGATTAATTTGTTTTTGGTTTTGTTGTAGTTTTGAAGAGCCACAAAATCAACCTGTACTGATGAAGATAAACTCTGAAACTGTCTGTCATTAACACGCATTTGTCTTCAGCGCCGCCGAGATAAATACTAAGAGAGGAAGCCATTTTCTTACACCAAGTGTGAGGCTCTCATGGGCACCCGCCCGTGTGGGGAAGCAGTTTATAAAAAGAAAACAGAAATGCAGTTACATGTGTTGTTTCTTTCTTTAGTTTTGGATACAGAAGGACAAGAAGAGTTTGGAGCCATGAGAGAGCAGTATATGAGGACTGGCGAGGGTTTCCTGTTGGTCTTCTCAGTCACAGATAGAGGCAGGTTCGTACCAGCACTGAAGAGCAGACCCTTGGTTCCTGTTTAGGTCACCGTTTCATTAAATTGGGATTTCCTCGTTTTCATAGAAAAAGGGAAAGTAATGTAGTACTGGGGGGGGGCGTGGGGCTGCTGCATTCTGGTACTTAACCAAAATGATTAATTTGTTTTTGGTTTTGTTGTAGTTTTGAAGAAATCTATAAGTTTCAAAGACAGATTCTTAGAGTAAAGGATCGTGATGAGTTTCCAATGATTTTAATTGGTAATAAAGCAGATCTGGATCATCAAAGACAGGTGAGAAGGAATTTCATTGCTGGGAAACAAGTTGCTTGCAATCATGCAGTGAACTGGTATTTTAATAAAGCAGTCGAAGGAAGTGTAACTGCGGCGTGCTGCCCGAGTATGCGGAGCTGAGTCTGGCACATGGGGTCCTACGGAAGTCACAACAGGTTTAAATATATATATATATATATATATATACACACACACACACACACATAT